TGGGCTGAGACCCACACACAAGTTGTAGCCCTGTTTTTAAGCTTTAAAACGAGACCAAAACCGTAGCAATCTGATGTGTATAACGCAAGTTATGCCCTTTTTAGTGTGACCTGCGCCGAATGACTGTCTTTGATGTACCATTGCATTATGTTTTCATAAGTGCATTAGTGAGCATGAGCCTCCATATGCATTAATTATGCATTATAGAAATAGTAGAGAACTTTAAGTATGAGCTTTATTGAGAGAAAAGAGAGTAGAGTAGGTTGTGCGATGGGGAACCCGTGAGTAATGGGTATAGTTTCCCGCATTGAGAGAGCGACATGAGTAGAGAGAGAGAAGTGGTTTAGCCCGTGAGAGTACGCATGAGGGCTTACCCGAGAGTACCCAGAGAGAGTTTATACGCTCACATGGCCAAGGGTTCCGAATCCATGCATAACCGAGTCCGATCGGCTAGAATGGTAGAAGTCACGTAGAGTGGGGGTGAGTCTCGGTCGTGCCTCCGGTAAGATGAGGCCGTGACTACTAAAGAGAGTTAGTAGAAAAGAGTTATGAGAAAGAGAAAATAGAGAGAACTATAAGAGGGAGAGTAAATGAGATGTAAGGAAAGATTAGAGAGAGATAGTTACGGGGATAGATGCGTAGAGGATTTACTTACTGAGCATTAGTTGTGCTCACCCCGTTGTTTTTCATGTTTTGCAGATCTAGGTGAGACACGGTCGGATGGGCGTCGGCAAGCGAAGGGAATGGCTACACTGTCCACTTTGTTTTGATGTTTTGTACATGATACAACTTTTTGTATAAAGAATGTATATATTTAATAAAAGAAAAATTTGGGCCCAACTTTTTATACTATTTTATTAGTACAGTGTTTTGAGTATTTGAGTAGAAAGCGACTATACATGACATTAGGAAATATGTACCCTAGTGTTGGAACATTCACTTTATGGGGGCATTTGGTTCAGGAATGTTAGTACTGGGATGTTGGATTACTGAGATAGATTACCTTGGAAGATTACTGGGAATCTTTAGGAAAATATGTTTGGTTAGTTGGTGGGTATGTTATATTAATATGTTGGTTATGAGGAATAAATTGGTGGGTATGCTGTTTAAATTACTAATTGTCCCTTTTTATTAATATAATATTATTTTTATTATTATTTTTGAATAATTTCTTTTAACCCCAATATTTCAGATTTAGCTAAAACACCTCTGCTTATATAAACTTTAATTTATGATGAATCACCCCCACCTCCTATCCCGCCTGCCGCCACCGTCGATGTCTCCAAAAGTCCCCGTGGTACGTCACCATGACCAAACGCCGGATATGGCTGTTTCTGGCCATATTAATGGCCGAAACGGCCTATCGGGCCAGATCTGGACCAGATCTATTCCGGTCAAAATAGATCTAGCCGTTAATAGCCAATTTGGCCCAGACCTGGCCGTTAACGGCCAGTTCCATTGATCTGGCCTGATATGGCCGTTTTCGGCCATCATATGGCCGGAAACGACCATATCGAAGCCTCCCGGAGCCTCCCACATAATTTCCTTCTTTTTTAGGGTCTCTGGCGATTTCTCGGCGATGGTCCGTGGTGGTTGGCCCGTCGTCGTGTGGTGCTGGGTGCAGTGGTGGTCTGTAAATGATATTAAATATAAGGGCATTATTGTCCAAAATTTTAATTACAAGGGTAAATTGAAATGATATTAATATAAATTGTTTTTAAGTAGGTATTATTGTCAAATTTTTTATTAATAAGGGAATAAATTGTAACCAAAAAAAAAAAAATCTTGGTATTCTCATAATACCTAAGAAAATGGAGGTAATCAGATTACCTCTGATATTACTAATAGTACCCACTATTGGTATTTGAAGATTACCGATATCTTATATTACTTGACAACCAACATGGTAATCAAGTATATAAGATGACATTACCTTAGTAATCCCACTTCCCCCCCAACCAAAGGCCCCCATGTGATAAAATGATTATCTAATCGGCAAATACCCTGAATCTCAATACCCTACACTCTAAATTGCACCAATAATAGATGCTCAAATCAAAGGTGTTAATATCAAGTTGGTTTACGTTGCCGTGGCTCTAATTTAAAACGACTTCGAGCGAGAAATAATGGTTTTTAATGCCTAAATGATAGAATATGCTCGTCATAACCAAGTGAATTGCAACATAAGTTGCAAGTTCCAATCTACTCTTGAAATGAAGCAAAGACATTACTTGCCCAAATCTGAAAACGTGGACAAAATTCCCTATATCAAGAAATCCATTTCCTTGCACCAAGGTAAATGCTTTATGCTAGGAAATTGACGTTATAATCAATAAAACACCATAAGATTGCATCCCCTACAATTTGCTCATTAAACATTAAGTTAAGTTGACCTGGTGTTAAGAAGGTTTGTTTTCCTCATTGACTTCCTAGATCGAACCACTTTGGAGCCACCTACCACATTCGTGGTTTAGTTTGGAACATTAGAATTGTAGGGTGTTTAATGTGTCTCAAGGATTAGTTAAGTACACACAAATTGGTCTGAACACCTCGATTATCGAAAAAAAAAATTAAGATGGGGCAAATCCAAGACATTATATCATTTGGTTTTATGATGCTACAAAATCAATTCAGAATGATCATTAGAGGAGATAAAGATTTTTGGACGGCCCTAAGATGATACAATTCACTCCTGGAACATGTCAACACAACTCAACTTGTGATTTTTAACCTACTTGTCCATGTCAAGCCAGCGACATTATTATTTGCCCATATTTTAGCTCATGACATGATTTTCTCGACACTAGGAGATTCATTTCTTTGTGTAAGGAAATTTACTTCGTGCCACAAAATGGATAATTTAACGATGAAACACCCCCTGTGATAGAATGCTCACCAAGCAATCACATGTGGCGAAGCAGGGGTGGATCCAGCCCCTTCGAGGGTAGGCCTCAATTTTTTTTTAAAAAAAAATTGTTAATATATAGGCTCACAAAAATTGCTATTAATATATACCCGATCCCACTCTCCGATTTTTAAAAAATAAGAACTATATATATATAAGCCTACAAAAAACTTGCTAGTAATATATATATTCCAAGCTCACATCATATTAAAAGTTTAAAACTTTTTTCACTCTTCTTCTCCACGGCTCCACCTGTTTTTTTATGATTTCATCCCTAAAATTTTTTACTCTCTCATTCTCTCGTCCTCTTTCTTATGCTATTCAATCTTAAAACTGTTGAAGACTGAAATTGTTGAAACTTTCATTACTTAAGGTGCAACAATTAACTCAATTTTCTATTTTATCACTTTTAGGTATGTGTATTGCTCATTTCAATTTAGTTTATTTTATGGTTGAATCATGTTTATTTTTTTAGAGGATTTTTATTTTAATTTGAGGGAAAAAGACATGGATCTTATGAGTTTATTTTTTGTTTTGTGTCTAAGAATGAACATGTCTTCCTAAATTAAAACTTTAATTATATTTTAAAGGATGTTATTTTTCACCCTTCACCAACTACGTTTCTATATTTCAAACGTCACCGTTCAACAACTCAAAATAATTAAAGAAATTTGAGTTACTATCTATGTTTATACCAATAAATTTTTTTTTTTATTAATTCATATTAAAAGTTAACACAGCGTTGACTTAATTTAAGTTTTGGTTGAGTTTAACTTAAGCTAGGTCTCATCAAAATCATGAAAATTTATATTATAATCTTTTGAAGCCAAAAATAAAAAAAATAAAAAGAAGTTTTTGCTCAAAGTTTACTCAACTCATTTACTAAAAATTTTGTTTTTCATAGATTTATTCAAGTATAAAAGTATTATGTTATTACATTATTTTCTTTAGGTTTTTTATATTTTATTATTTTCTTTACTTAAAGTTTGGTGATTTTTTAAAGTTTTCACTAGTTGTTTGGCAAATAATGACGGAGCGACGGAGGCCCCCCTTGACAAAAATCCTGGATCCGCCTTTGTGGCGAAGCCAATATGTTTTATCATTTCGAAGTTATGTTGCTTTGATACTACTTAAATAATGGTCATTGAGAGAGGAAAAATATCCAGCCTCTAAGGATAAGAGACATGATTTACGGTTTTCTTAGAAATTTGTTAATGAATTCAATAAAGATTGACTTAAAACCTAATCTTACAAACTTTGTCTCATAACTCTATCGTGACAGCTCGTAATTGATCAGTTAGTAATGAAACATGCATGATTCATTACGAATTACCACATCAGGGTTGTGAAAAAAAGTTTTTGAGATTGATTTATAAGTGTAACTATACCCTAATAGATTTGGTGAGATGTATGTTAGAGGACATTATTACAAACTTATGTATACATTTTAAATTAGAAATATTGGATCATTTAAATTAGAAATAAACTAACAAACTTAAAATAAATAATATACAAAATATACAATTATTATATCAATTTATAAATAATTTAGATACGTGACAATGACATTATTCGTTTGGGGTAGCATATATTCTTTTATTAGTCTAATTTCCGAAACCCGTGGAAGTTTATTTTAGATGTTTTTTGCGCCTAAATTTTAAGTACTATTTCCACAAACAGTTGCAGTGCCTGGCAGTTAACGAGGCTGGAGCCGTTAGACAGGAAAAGCCAACCCAAGATATGTCCATTATGGGCCCACTATCAATTTTAACTAATCAACAATCAAAATCGCAAGAGTTCACGTGTCAGTCTCGGTACACGTGTCCTAGATGATGCGAAATTCAACCTAAGTAGTCTCGGGTGTTTACGGCTGCAGTGTAGTTGGTCAGCCCACGTGGTAAGATCCTACAAGTCCGATAGGCCCCATTCTAAGCGATCAGTCCTACAAAAACCTATCCACATGTCCAATGTTCTCGTATCTTCCAAATATCGTCAGCAACAACTACACAAAACTTCTTTTCTCTTTTTTGTTTATTTTCACTTATTATTTAAAAGCAAAATACATATATTTAATATTTTTATCTCTCATCGTACTCTATCTTCTTTCTTTCTAAAAAAGTTAAATCTGGACCGCGAACCAAGCTTTTCGCTCTGGTTCGTTGCCGCCCTCCACATCCCCTCTATATATTTCAACAGGCAAAACCCTAGCCCTTACTTTTCAATTCAAGTTATTTATTCAAGATTTCTCTAATTTTTTTTTTAACAAGTATAAGATCTACAAGATTAGAACCAAATATTCGAAGCTGTTTCGCTTAGATTAGCAAGAACTGTAAGCTTTTTCGGATCTTGAGATTCTCTTCGTCCAGTTTGTGTAGATTTGGATCTATAAAGAGTTTTTTAAATTTTTTTGAGAGGTGAGTTTGGTGTAATTTACGCTTTTGAAGAAGATATTTTTAAACTTTTGGTTCAAGTAACGGTTTAGCAGTTATTGACTTCTTGAAATAGTTGTTTTAATTGGTTTTGTATTCTTTGTTGTTCAGTTGAGTTATTTTTTCTGGTATTTGATTAGTGTGAAGAAATGATGTTATAGATTTTTTTTTCCTTTTCTTTTTGGTGCTAATTCAAATTCAATTTTGCATTTGATTTCAGAAGTTCATACTTTCGGAGATAATTCCAGTAAATTAGTGTTTTCTAGTTTCGTGTTCCGGGCTTCTTGAATGCTGTTATTTAAATTTGGGGGAAGTTTGGAATTCAATGGGAGAAAGTGCAGTTTGTGCGGAAATTCCAACAGATGGGAATATGATTGTTGAATGTCCGTCAGGAACTGAATTGAAGACAGAAGATGACTGTTTAAAAGACAATGTTGAATCAGAGTCATTTATCGAAAAGAAGCAAGCAAAAGAAGAGGCTGTATATGACGACATCAAATCTGAAGTTTCGAATCCCATTGTTTCTCCTAAAGAAATCACATCAAGCTTCCACGATATCATTAGCCAACAAATCGAATCAGATACAGTTAACCGTGTTGGGTGTGACAAGGTGACGTGCACAAGTTCAGAGGAAACTTTAAGCGAAGCAGATCGTAGTGAAAGTTCCCAGACCGAGACTTCTCGGAACAACAACACTTCAGGTGATGTTTCGACATCTCATGTAGTGTTAGAAATCCCAAAGCATCTTAGTTCATCATCTGGAATCAGGAAAATCACATTCAAGTTCAGCAAAAGAAAGGAAGATTATTTAGTCAAGTCTTCTGCACCTTTAGGGAATGAGGAAGCCGGCAGCCACTCTGTTTATGATGATGTGTATTCTTATAGGAAAGACTCACCTGAAGGGAGTCACCGTCACTTGTGTGCTCCAAACATGGAAATTAAGATGTCCAAGAAGGTTGTTCCGAATGAATATCCCACAAATGTAAAGAAGTTATTGTTAACGGGTATTCTTGATGGAGCGCGGGTCAAATATATTTCTACGCAGAAGGTAAATTTGGACTACTTATGTTTTTCTAGTATTTGCTACTTAAGTACATTTTAATTCATTTTGGACTTATTTGTTTATTTGTTCATCTTTTGTGAATTTAGAGGAAGCTGGATGGAATTATAAATGGTGGTGGTTATTTGTGTGGTTGTCCTTTATGCAATTTCTCAAAGGTAAGTCACTTTCAGTTTCAGTTTGTATTGTTTTCAGTTACAATAGTGTTTGTGTTGGTAATTGTGATAGTTAAATTATTCTGTTGTACACCAGGTTGTAAGTGCCCATGAGTTTGAGCAGCATGCTGGTGTCAAGACTAGACACCCGAATAATCACATATACTTGGATAATGGGAAGCCAATTTATAGTATCATTCAAGAACTAAAGAGTGCTCCACTTGGTATACTTGAAGAAGTGGTAAAAAATGTTGCTGGTTCTTCTGTCAATGAGGGATCTTTCCAAGTTTGGAAAGGTATTGTACGTTTGTCAATGTCTAGATGCATATTGGGTGCGTCCCTATTTCTGACATGTTTTTGTATTTGCAGCTAGTGTTCAACAAAGCAATGGAATGGTTGAGCAACACGAAAAGTTTAATGCTAGGTAAAAGAGCCTCAACTTTCAATTATTTCCATTTTTGAATGCAGATTCAGTCTTTCACTCTTCTTGGTCTCCTGCCTCCAAACAAAGTATATAGGGGTCACTTTTCATTTAGGTAGAATTTTGCTGACTTAGGTGTTGAGCTAGACTGGAATTTGCAGACTTCTTAGTCCTATGCCTTCTTACTTCTGTATGTTTCAACTAGCAGATTTACCTGTTTCTACCTTATCCCGCACAGTACCTGATCCTGCATACTGAATAATGCACAAAGCAAATACCAAAAATTTGACATGATTTGGTGGCAGTGATGTTTGATCTAATTGCATTTTCCATTTTTTTCCTTTGCATGTACTTTCTGTTTTTCTGATCATGTACTTTTCCTAACCAATGCGTTGAACTTGCAGCTGCTTCAGTCTATCATTAGAAGAAAGCATCAGCCCTTCGTCATGTTCCTTTGTGCAGAAGAATGGTGCTAGGCACCAATTATATACGAAGGAGATGCTTGAAGAGCAGAAACGTGGAGTGAAGAGGTTTGTTTGTTTTCATTTTCTTGACATCTACTATCTGGTTTGTAAATTTTATTTTCGTTTCTTGTCTTTATAATTATCTACTGTCTCGGAACTGAGATTGTGCCTGTTGTGCAGGCCTAGCTCCTATAGCTCTGTAACGCAACAAAAGAGAACTGCTGAAGGTGGCACAAAGAGAAGGTACCATTTCTGGTCTGCCATGCTTTTACTTCATTCTTCTTTGAAGTCTGTTTTGGTTGTTGGAACTCCAGAACCTGCTTGATTTAGACCCTGAGCACAATCAAAATAAGGAATACAGGAAATTTAAAAAAAACCATGTCGTGATTCAGAATAAGTGGTTGAATACCATCAAACAAATTTGAAAATTGAAATAAAAAATTTATTTTCTCTGTTTTCCTTGGGCATTAAAATATGAAATTAGTTTTTGATAAGATCTAGCATATAGTCAGTTATTAAAAACACTGAAAATACTACTGAGATAATTAGATTGTATCTTATCTTATGAAAATCATTTGCAGATTTCAAAATAAACCTTTGCTTTTCATGTAGTCTTTAACATGCAAAATTCGTTTGTTTATTGGCAGGGATAATGATCTACATCGGCTGCTTTTTCTGCCAAATGGACTTCCTGATGGGGAATTATTGACTTACATTGTGAAAGGACAGGTGCTACATTCGATGTCTATCCTAATTGATGATTGTATGATATACTGCTACTAGTACATGTCTGTTGTTGTAAATTTAATTGTTATGATGTGTTTTTTCCAGAGATTACGTGCTGGCTACAAGCAGGGAAACGGTATAGTCTGTGGTTGCTGCAACAGAGAGGTATAATTATACTGTAGAGTTTCAATGAGCATATAATTCTACCTTTCTTCTCCCTTTTCTCTCCGTCTCTCAGCTTATTATTTTTTTTTTTTCTTCCTTGATGAGCAGATTAGCCCTTCTCAATTTGAAGCTCATGCTGGAATGGCAGCCAGGCGTCAACCGTGAGTAGTCCTTAATGTTATGTGATTTCTTGTTGGAGTGTTTTCTTTATCATTTAAATTGAATTTATACGTCTTTGTGCAGCTATCGCCATATCTACACTTCAAATGGACTGACACTTCATGATATAGCCATGTCATTGGCACATGGGCGAAGCCGTTCCACTGGTGGCAGTGATGATATGTGCACAATATGTGGAGATGGAGGGAGTCTGCTTCTTTGTTATTGCTGCCCTCGGGCCTTTCATCCAGGTTGGTATTTCGTGTTTGATCAATTATTTTCTTACCAGTGCTTCCTATTATAGCTTATAGATCCATAAATATGTTATTTCTCTTGATTGATAAAAAATGTTATGTGTTTTGGTTTTTGTCAGTGAATCATGGTAATCTTTTCCAGCAACTGTTTTAATTATTTTTGTTGGGCTTGGCCTAAGCTTCTCAAAACTATATGTTATTTGTCTTAGTTTTGCTACCTTTCACTTTTTATTTCAATAACGCTTCTTGGTCTCTGAAGTATCAGAATATTGGATAACATGTCAGCTTATTTTTCTTTCATTTGTTTTATTTTGGGAGTAATGTCGTAAATAATGTATTTTGTTTTAATTTTGTATGTAACTCAATATTCTTGTTTTGGTGTTAAAGCTCTGTTTCTTGATTGATGTGTTCTTGCAGCGTGCTTAGATTTACAGTGGACTCCTGAAGGTGATTGGCATTGTCCAAATTGCAGAGAGAAATTTGGCCCTGATCGGGTGGATGCTGTTGGAGATTCTTCTAGTATGGCCAGATCAATGCTTTTGCAGAGAGATTTAGAATTACCAGAAATCGATATTGGTGGTTGTGTTGTTTGTAGGTTGGTTCTTTTTGAATATTTAGTTAATCTTTTATTTGCTTGTAGTAGTAAGATGACATATTATTTGTTTGTATGCATGCACATGAGTTTATGTATATTTATACTTGGAAAGAAACGAGATATAATTTATTTAAGAGTAGAAATGTGCTTGAAGCTCTTATCTTTGTTTTAGAGGTATAAAGACTTGTTTTGAATGTTCAAAACCATCAAGAATAAGGTATGGTGGATTTTTTATTCTTCACTTGTTATGTAATGATGATAAAAGCAAATTGTTTGCTGGGTACCTTTTCCCCTTTCTTTTGGAAATATCTCTAGGCATTCATATGCATTTTTTTCTGCTTAGATCTCATCCTCTTTTCTTATGGTATCTCTGCAAAAGACATTTTGAAGATGGTTTTCGAGGAAAAGATTGATATTTGGTGGATAAATAGGGTTGACCTGAAGAAAACTGACTGTAGAAAACCAATTTGTAGCACTTAGGTGTGAAAGTAATTAAATCTGTATAAGTTGGAAATCGAAGCTGTCAGTTGCTTTAGGGCTTCCCATTAATAAGTGTTCTATACTTGCTTTCTGGGTTGGAGGTCTTTTACTTTTGTTTCTTCGATTTATTTGTTTGATTGTTTCCCTGTTAGGTGCCATTGATATGATCTACTTTTAATTAATTGTGTTAATAAATTGTTACTGTTTCCTTCTGTTCAGGGCTCATGATTTTAGTGCTGGCATCTTTGATGATCGAACAGTTATTTACTGCGATCAAGTATGTTTGCGCTTTTTGCTTGGCAATTTTGTGAATATATTATTCGAAGTCTGGCCATTGTTCTTTTCTTTGTCTTTTTATTTTACTTATACATATTTTTTTCTTAGTGTGAGAAGGAGTTTCATGTTGGTTGCTTGCGGGATAGCGGGCTTTGTGATTTAAAAGTAAGTCTAGATACCATGTGATAGTTTTATATGATTGTTGCTTCTAGATGAAATGCTTATGGTTTTCCTGCATCTTCCTTCAGGAAATCCCCAAGGATAAGTGGTTCTGCTGTGATGACTGCACCAGAATCCATGTGGCCCTACAAGATTCTGTTTCTAACGGAGCGCAAATGATTTCAGCTTCATTGTTAAGTACAATAAACAAGAAACATTTAGAGAAAGGTATTTTTTCTGCTGGAGCTGCAAATGATGTTCAATGGCGAATCCTAAGGAAAGCCCAATCTATGGAGGAGAAATCATTACTTTCTAGCACTACTGCAATATTTCGAGTAAGTTTCTTTGGTACCTCACTGGATCTTCTCTTCAATTTTATTTTTTGAAAATACACAACTGTTATTGAGGAAGCATAATATTCTGTTGCTTTCTATCTGTTTCCCTGGATGGTTTATCCTAGTTGCTGCCATTAGTGACTTATCGAAAATGTGCATATTATTTCAATACATCACAGTCAGTAATTGACATGTCCTCATTATTTCTTATGAAAAAGAAAAAAAGAAAATCTGTTTATTGTTGTTTTAGTTGTATGCTCGTACTTTCATCTTCTATTAAGCACACAAAGAAAATCATAAAAGTTATGATTTTGGAAGTAATGGGGGACTCTGAGGAGTGGCTGCAACAAAATATCATATATAATAAAGAATTCACTCAAGAGTAATGACTCGTTGTTGTTAAAGTATTGCATAGCTTAAGTCTGGATAAGTTGATTATTCTGCATGTAAGATGTATTTATTATATTCTTTGTATACTTATTATCTTGTCTGTGCTGTTTTTCTACAGGAATGTTTTGATCCAATTGTTGCGGAATGTGGACGTGATCTGATTCCTCTTATGGTCTATGGGTAAGTCTTTTAGTTAAGTGGCAATTTAAGCTACTCTGCAATGTTACTGTACTAGGTGATCTTTTTCTACATTGTTTTTGGCACTTAGATTTTTTTTTTTTGTTGCCATATTGAAACTGTCAATTCCATTAGGACAGTGAGGTCTATGATTTGTGTAATGGGGCTTCTCAAAGAAATTGTTGCAAGCCTATAGAAGGATGGGCTTTTTTGTTTCTAGTTAAGCAATAACCAATTCCTTGTTTATCTTTTGATGTAATTGAAGCTCATTTACATCCACTTTAACCAAGAAATGACTTGCTCTTAGATATACATTTATTGAGGCTATTATACATTAGACATGTACGTTTACACAAGGAGTTCTTTCTTTTTATTGCGTTACTGTGGATGAGCTTATATTGTGTGCTTTGCTTCCTGAGCCTTGTTAGGAGGGGAATATATTCTTTTCATGACTTTCAGATACAAAATTTGTCAATTTGTTGATTTTAGCTTAATATTTTCTCATCATTTTATCAGTGTGGAAATATAAGACTACCAAGTAGTGTTAGAATTTTATTATGATGCTTATAATTTTGAATTACACGAAAATGATTTTTTTTCTTTCAAATTGTTTGTTGATCATCTATCATGTTTTGATTTCACTGGACTTGGTATCTGTAAATTCGTGATGTTCTACCGTTATATATTTTAATCATTGTTCTTTGAACGGATTGCAGGAGAAACATATCTGGTCAAGAGTTTGGAGGAATCTATTCTGTCATTTTAATGGTGAAGTAAGTTTCTCTGTGGTCATATTTTCACTTCTGTTTGTGTTCTTAATTTCTCGGTATCGATTTTAATTCTACTTGTATTACTGATTTCTTATTCCATTAATTTGATCGTTGCATGCTTATTTTGTCTGCAGTTCTGTTGTTGTATCTGCTGGCCTTTTAAGGATATTTGGTCGGGAGGTTGCTGAGCTCCCCCTAGTGGCTACAAGTAGAGGATATCAAGGAAAAGTATGCATTTAATATCTTGGATGAGACGAACCTTCATTTAGCTGTTAATATTAATTTTTTGTACATATTTGAGGTACCCAGGCTTACATTTTATTTTATTAATATTTTTAAAGGGTTGTTTCCAAGCATTATTCTCGTGCATTGAGAGGTTGCTATGTTCCCTGAATGTGGAAAATCTGGTGCTCCCTGCGGCTGAGAAGGCTGAGTCAATCTGGACAAAGAAATTTGGCTTCAGGAGGATGAGCAAGGAGCAAGTAAGTGCATTTTTTTAACATAGGTTTCGCCAAAGTCATAGTTCTTTAATTATAAAGCGGTAAAACCATTATTGGTTGAATAGGCCTAGAGAATGCTGGTTAAACAATGCTTTTGTATTTAAGCTGCACAAACAGGCTATGTAACAGAATGTGTTCACATGGAAACATTATTTTCTATGCGAACGTAGAAACAAAAAACATTAAGAAACAAAACAAAACTAATGCAAAGTCTTCAAAATCTCCATGTGCACAACATTTTTGAAAAAGCATCAGGTTGATTTTGAGTGTGCTAAATACTGTAAGAAATCTTAACCTGTTGACAAACAAATTAATCAGCAGAACAAATTGGGGAAAAATAAACAAAGAACAGAAACTTTTTTTTTTTTTTTTTTTTTTGGACTCCTTACTGAAGTTTATACTTAAAAAGTTCAAATATCGTCATCTTCAATATTAGATTATGGAACAAGCTGATGGCACTCATGAAATTATTTTGTTGTTTAGCTATCGAAGTACCAAAGAGAGATGCAGCTAACCATTTTCAAGGGAACATCAATGCTAGAGAAGAAGGTTCAGTATCAATCAGAGAATTCGTTGTGAAGCTTCTGGTCAGACATTGCTGTGTTTGGTGTTCGCTGATATTGTATTACTGCCGCTAGTTTGATTTTGTTTAATATTTTTTCCTATTATTTTTTTTTTCCTTTGGTGGGGTTGGATTTGGAGTGTGTGGAGCAGTGAACAGTCTGATTGAAGATTGTTTGTTCTGTCCTTGTACAATTTAGAAGTAGAAAATGTGAGGGGGTGAGGGTGTGATAGTGAAGAGTAAATGTACAAAGAACCAGTGCATGCTGACCTTTTATTATGCATGCATGAGGCAAGGAAATTTTTTTATTAAATTCTAATTTATGTTGCTTGAATGTAATCCCTTGTCTAGATGTAAAAATTTCAGCAAGTGTTGGCCATTGAAGAAAATTTAACTGTCTACTTTTTATGATCATATCCAGAGTTTTGATTCAGATGGGAAAAGGATTCTTCTCTCTTATTTATTCATTTTTGTTGTATTTTTTATTTTTGTTTATTAAACTTATTTATGATTCTTTGTGGATGCGTTCTTCACGCTTAATATGATAGCCTTCAGGTCCTTCACGATTCAGCTGATTCATCAATACTTAACAGTTTCTGTTAAGGTGTGTTGTCTACGTCTCTCTTACAAGACACTATCTTCTTAATAATAAAATTAATCACTATTATTCATGATAACTAAATAAGTAAAAGAAGCTAAGCCCTTTTTTATTCTAATAATAATCTTAAAATTTGAATACAAATGCAGTTGTGAAATGTATGTAAACAAAATTGGAATCGAGGTCCTTGGGTCATTATAACTTTTATCTGGCTAGTAGTTTTAAGCACTATTTTAAAACTCAATTCGGCTTAGTCGGTTTAATTGGGACTCGAAAGTTTATCGAGTTATGTTAACATTATTCATATTCACCCAAAACCTTAGAATTTGGGATGATGATCGGCGAACAATTGAAGATCGGGATATTGAGGCTTTTCAAGAGAAAGTGTAGGTGAATGCAAGGGTGGTGAGAGAGTAGATTTTCGGTGAGTGAATCGACCGAAAATTGAAAAAAAAGTAGCAACGGCAACAATCGACTTTTGTCGGCGATTGGTGAGGTTAACGAGGGTAGGGTGAGGTGGGTTTTGGTCGGGAGGAAGAGGGGAGTATTTTTGGGGTGATGGGGAGGGTTGTCGACGTCAGCGTCGGTGAAATCTGGCATCAGTGAGATAAGATTTGGCCTGGAATGTCGATGCCAGTGTCGGTGAGATTTAGCTTGGAATGTTGATGCCGGCATCGATGAGATTTGGCTTAGAATGCTGACGCAACCGATTTCGACAAGATCTTGGGTAGATTTTTAGGGGAATGGGCTCAAGGGACGATTAGGGTTGCATTTCGGGTGTCGTCGTCGTCAACCAATTGCTGACCGATTTGTATTTGGAATGTGTTTGCTAAATTTCAAACTTATAGGAGCTTAACATAATTTTTAGGGGTGTATTTGCTGAATTTTAAAAATTGTCCCCGGTTTGACTGGTCGATCAAATTGGTTAAACCGATCTACCTAGGACCCAACAACTTTGCCGGGTTTCACCCCGGATTGGGTTTTAAAATATTGATTTTAAGGTCTTAAAAAATTAGTTAAGACACGTGTAAACTAACCCGAATACTCTGTCCAAAAAAAATTAGAAACGAGACCTATAGGTATACATAAACTGACAACATTCAGGTCACGAAAAAAAAAAAAAAAAAAAAAATCGAGACCGATAGTAATATCAGTATCAACAAAAATAAAATATAACAAGTATCACTGGGGCCACGTCGATGGTGATGATATTATATTGTACATGGTACTTCATAGTGGTGCTGGTACCGTATAACTCGTTTCGCGAGGATTCCACTGGTTCACTAAACCCTAAAAAGTCTTAAAACCCTAAATTCCTCACCGCCGTTTCTTTGAATCGAATAATCCAATATTTGATTCGATGGCGTTCGCTTCCAGCTTTCGTCGCGTCCTTAGCTCTGGCTCTTCCGTTCTCCAATCTCAACTGGCTACCGTTCGTTTTAGTTCAACTCTTACTTCCCCTAAACTCTTCGTCAGTGGTAATTATGTTTGTTTTATCCTGTATGTTTGTTTTGTCGTTTAAATTTTCCATGATTCAATAACAACTCTCAGGTTTTAAATTTTCTTTATTTTAAATTTATGTTTTAATTTTATTGACTGTAATGAACCAATTTATTATAAATTTTCGTTAACATAAGATATATACGTTAATACTGAATAAGAATAATGAAATTTTTTAGCTGCATTCATTGCAACTTAAGCTAGGTTGTTTAACAAGCCAGTAGTTTGAGATTGGGAGGAGAAAATTATAAGTATGTAATTGTGAACCTAGTCATTACTGTGAGTTAAATGAGTTTGAAGTATAATACTAGGGTGAGTGGTACTAGAGCTCTTATTCCTGAATGTATCTGTGAATTGAATTTTGTTTGTGGTGACGTGTGAATCGGCTGCTAATCCCCTTTGAAATATTGGAAACAAAAGTGTCTACAGTGAGTTAAAAAAAAAAAAAAAAAGGACATATCGTTTGGACTGGTTATTTACCATTTCATTGAATGGTTCTAATCCATGCTTCTGAATAGGTTCAGCTTAGCGTTTGCCTGAAGGAAGTCTTTCCCTTCTTATAGTAGAGTAGGGGAAGTCAATGTCATACCTGGACCTAGATGTTGTTTAATCTAGCAACAAACTCTGAAAGAATGGTTTCAGACTCTCTCTAGTAGTCATCGATGTGTTTGGGAGAACTGAGTTGCCATCTGACATTTCAATCAAGCAACAAACTCTGAAAGAAAGGTTTCAGACTTTCTTTAGTAGTCATTGGAGTGTTTGGGAGAACTGAGTTGCCATCTTACGTTGTGTATCGAAAAGTGGATTGTATTACCATTCTGTGGGATCTTGGTCTATGTTAGAATGACATTATGGTGTTCTCTTGCATCATTAATACCTATGTTCTTTTTACTGAAATACCTCAAATTTCACTATTGCAGTTGGTTAATACATGTCACAACTGTAAAGCATTTGCTTGAAACCCTATTTTTCATTGACATACACTATTCAGAGGCATCCCTTATCCTTGCTCTAGTGATATCATAACCCGAAGCCAAAAAAAAATTTTTTTCTTTGTTTTGTTTTTAAAGGTGATTAGCCACTGATGTATGATTCTCTGCATGAACTAGATATATTTCTTGAAGCATATTACTAAAAATTGCCTGTTAGGATTTAGACAGTTTGTAGATTTGATTAACTCCCATCATGGTATTATAAGCAGGTCTGTCAAGACTTACAACTGATGAAAGGCTTAAGGAGGCATTTTCTTCATTTGGACAGCTTCTTGATGGTAAGTTAAAACGTAAAAGTATATTGTTGGTTGTATTTATATTCCACATCATTGTGGTTTAATCTTATGCTTTCTAATGCATTCATTCTGCAGCAAAAGTTATAACGGACAGAATGTCTGGAAGATCAAAAGGGTTTGGTTTTGTTACGTATGCAACCATAGAGGAAGCTGAGAAGGCTAGAGAAGGAATGAACGCAAAGTTCTTGGATGGATGGGTTATTTTTGTTGACCCTGCTAAACCAAGGGAGTCCAGACCACCTCCTCCGCGTCAATCAGAATCGCAACCCTCTGAGACAGGTTTCAGAACAAACAAGACAATCGGATGGTGTGGGTGATTTAAGGTGGTTGACGGTATTCATCATACTAGAAGACTATTTACAGAATGCACTCCCTTATTTTTCCTACTAACATCTTGTATTCATGAAGATGAGGGATTGGTGGTCATAATTTTGTTATGATTTATTTGGACAAAAGTCATTTTGGATTGGTGGTCATAATTTATTTATGATTTATCAATTGATTTATTTGGAATTATGGGAACCTATAGCACTTCACTTGTATTCATTCTTGATCTGGTAATTGTACGGTGATATACATCTTTTGGTTCCTGTTTAAAAATAAAATCCTCAAAAGTAGTCATAACTCAGCTTGTTAGATAAATGTTTTAGATAAATACTGTGATAATGTCTGTCAGATTTATTTTGCTCAAATACATTAGCCTGCAAAAATATGTAAACGAATAAAAATATAAAGGAAACTTGTTTTCACAAACAAAATTTGCATTAAGAGATGATATAGATCCTGTAAAAAAGGAAATACACTTTGGGGCTGTTTGGATCGGTTTGATATTATATAACGGGGGTAATATATTTTAAATTGGGCATAGAATCATGTTTGGTTATTTTGTAAAAAAACATTTCCGGAAAAAAAAATGTCAAATAGTGCTAAATTGGGGGTAAATCAGTGGGAATAATATTTAGAGGGGGGCGGGGTTTGGTATTAAAATATTATTTCGGTAATCCAAATTTCTGTCCAATTTTGTCCCAAAACAGTAGACAATGTAGATGAAAATATCCTTGGCTTTGTTAATAATTATAAAACATCTAATTTGCACAAGAAGACGGATTTGTCATTAGTTTTTTAATTTTTCAGACAAAATTGCCCTACTTAGTATCAATATTTTCATAAATGCCATGAAATATTGTTGTGCCTATATTATCCTTACATATTTGCATATTGTGACCAAAACACTCCCACCTACCACAGTGCCAGATTCTGGCCACCACCGTCGGAATCTGGTTGGAATCTACCGTTACGACTCAGACTGGTCAAATCTGACCAGTGGTGTGTCAATCTGGCATTTTCCGACTGCAAAAGGCCAGATTTGGCCGTCGTTGACTGTCAAGGACAGTCATTTCTTTGGCCATCGTTGACGGCTAGATCGGTGAATAAATAGCCATTTTCGATCGTTTTTAGGCCGTTGTGACAGATTCTAGCCACCACTGACTGTGGTTGCGGGAATCTGGCAACTATGGGTGAGTGGGTGGGGTTGTTTTTGTTAATTTTTAAACTTTTTTTTTTCTTGAGGTGTTTAATTAAGTTAATAAACTTAAGGGGTCTAAAAGTAATTAAAAAATGAATAATGTTTCCCAAATAATTAAACAAACAAGTATTTTGGGAATATGATAGGGAATAGGGTTTGAAATAATAAAACAAACAAGCCCTTAATTATTTATATCTCGTAATCATCTAAAGGACATTTAGTAAAATGTAATCAAAACATCCGAGGGGCATTCTAGTAAAAGGGTATTTCAGGACATCTGTTATTATTATCAACCAAATACATGAATTATTAATACATCCCAATTGAACCAAACACAATAATAATTTAAACTCGGTAATCCACAATGTAATCTTTCTTTCCGGTAATCTTATTACTAAGATAAAAAAACATTATATGATCTAAACGCCCCCTTTGGGTGTGTTTGGTTCAGGGAATGCTATATTACTGAGGAATGTTGTATTACTGGAAAGATAGATTATTAGAGAATCTTTAGAGAAATGTGTTTGGTTGGTTGGAATAAATTGATATGTATATTATAATATTATATTTGGTTGGGAGGATAAATGAGTGGGTATGTATGTAGATTATTAAATTGCCCTCATTTTTAAATAATAATAAATTATTTTTTAACCCCTTATATTTGAAATTTTGCTAAAACAACCAACCATATAAAACTTTAATTTATAGCAAAATCACCCCCACCCATCCCAAGCCACCATCGGCAGCCAGCCACCATCGTCGGTAGCTGCCGTAATGGCACACGACTAGCCGGATGTGGCTGGTCGTGCGCCGGTAAGGCCTAATCAAAGATCCATGGCAAAAAAACGATTAGATCTGGCCGTGAATATGGTCGTTTCACAGCCAAAGATGTGGCCGTGAAAAAGCCAGATCTATGGTGTTTCATGGCCACATCGGCCAGATCTGGTCATTTTCGGCCATGGATCACAAATCCATGGTTGGAAATGTCCTTACCGACACACGACTGGCAAGATCCGGCCGGTCTTGTGTGAATATGATGACTTTCACCAGTGGCTAGCGACCGGCGGTGGTCTTGGGTGATTGGGGGTATTTTGTTAACTTTTAAACTTTTTGTGGCGGGGTGTTTTAGCTAAATTCTCAAATGTAGGTTGTTTGGATAATTGTTATTTGGTAGACATATGAGGGAAAATGTGTGCAAAATGATAAAAGATTAAGGGCAAAATAGGGTCAAAATTAAGATTACCTCGGTAATCTTATATTAACGTCCCTTGGGAAGGTAATCTGATTACCCATAATATTACTAACAATAAATATTATTTGCAATAAAAGATTACGTAATATTTTATTACTTAACAACTAAATGAGGGAATCTTGAAAATTAAACAAAGATTACAAGATTAATCTTATATCACCCCGAACCAAACACAACCTTTAGAAATCAAGAAAAAAAAAATACCGTTCAAACGATCATGTTCTTTCAATGCTCACCATCATATTTAATAGCTGTGTGTCATCAACATCACATTAAGGGATAATAAATCTTTTCTCTTGTTGTAACTTTTATTCTATTTATTTATTTATTTTTATCATCGGGGGGTGTCTGACTAGTTTGTGTGCATCTCAATTAACCCCTCGTGGCACTGAAACTGCCAACCGAGTAAGAGCTCCAGTAGCCACCTTTGTTAGTGCGTTGGGGACTTGAACTTATGAGCTCATAGAACTCTTTTTGCTCTTTTACCATCATAGCACTTTTTACTGAAATACCTCAAATTTCACTATTGCAGTTGGTTATACATGTCACAACTGTAAAGCATTTGCTTGAAACCTATTTTTCATGACATACACTATTACAGAGGCATCCCTTATCCTTGCTCTAGTGATATCATAACCCGAAGAACAAATTTTTTTTTCTGTTTGTTTTTAAAGGTGATTAGCCATGATGTATGATTCTCTGCATGACTAGATATATTTCTTGAAGCATATTACTAAAAATTGCCTGTTAGGATTTAGCAGTTGTAGATTTGATAACTCCCATCATGGTATTATAGCAGGTCTGTCAAGACTTACAATGATGAAAGGTTAAGGAGGCATTTTCTTCATTTGGACAGTTCTTGATGGTAAGTTAAAACGTAAAAGTATATTGTTGGTTGTATTTATATCCACATCATTGTGGTTTAATCTTATGCTTTTATGCATTCATTCTGCAGCAAAAGTTATAACGACAGAATCTGGAAGATCAAAAGGGTTTGGTTTTGTTACGTATGCAACCATAGAGGAAGCTGAGAAGGCTAGAGAAGGAATGAACGCAAAGTTCTGGATGGATGGGTTATTTTTGTTGACCCTGCTAAACCAAGGGAGTCCAGACACCTCCTCCGCGTCAATCAGAATCGCAACCCTCTGAGACAGGTTTCAGAACAAACAAGACAATCGGATGGTGTGGGTGATTTAAGGTGGTTGCGGTATTCATCATACTAGAAGACTATTTACAGAATGCACTCCCTTATTTTTTCTACTAACATCTTATTCATGAAGATGAGGGATTGGTGGTCATAATTTTGTTATGTATTTGGACAAAAGTCATTTTGGATTGGTGGTCATAATTTATTTATGATTTATCAATTGATTTATTTGGATTATGGGAACCTATAGCACTCACTTGTATTCATTCTGATCTGGTAATTGTACGGTGATATCATCTTTTGGTTCCTGTTAAAAATAAAATCCTCAAAAGTAGTCATAACTCAGCTTGTAGATAAATGTTTTAGATAAATCTACTGAAGTCTGTCAGATTTTTTGCTCAATACATTAGCCTGCAAAAATATGTAAACGAATAAAAATAAAAGGAAACTTGTTTTCACAAACAAATTTGCATTAAGAGATGATATGTTCTTCACGCTTAATATGATAGCCTTCAGGTCCTTCACGATTCAGCTGATTCATCAATACTTAACAGTTTCTGTTAAGGTGTGTTGTCTACGTCTCTATTACAAGACACTATCTTTGTATTTTTTAATAATAAAATTAATCACTATTATTCATGATAACTAAATAAGTAAAAGAAGCTAAGCCCGTTTTTATTCTAATAATAATTTTAAAATTTGAATACAAATGCAGTTGTGAAATGTGTATAAACAAAATTGGAATCGAGATCCTTGAATCACTATAACTTTTATCTGAGTGATAGTTTTAAGCACTATTTTAAAACTTAGTTCGGCTCAATCGGTTTAATTGGGATTTGGAAGCTTCATCGAGTCAAGTTAACATTATTCATATTCACCCAAAATCTTAGAATTTGGGATGATGATTGGTGAACAATTGAAGGTCAGGATATTGGAGCTTTTCAAGAGAAAGCGTTGGTAAATACAAGGGTGGTGACGGAGTTGATTTTCGGTGAGTGAATCGACCGGAAATCGAAAAAAGTAACAGCGGCAACAATCGGCTTTTGTCGGCGATTGGTGAGGTTAACGAGGGTGGGGTGAGGTGGGTTTTGGTCGGGAGGAAGAGGAGAGTATTTTTGGGGTGATGGGGAGGGTTGTCGACGTTGGCGTCGGTGAAATCTAACTTGGAATACTGACGGCGCATTAGTGAGATTTGGCCTGGAATGTTGATGCCAGTGTTAGTGAGATTTAGCTTGGAATGTTGATGCCGACGTCAATGAGATTTGGCCTAGAATATCGACGCCGGCATTGATGAGATATGGCTGAAATCAAACCGATTTTGATAAGATCTTTGGTAGATTTTCAAGGGAATGGGCTCAAGGGACAATTAGGGTTGTATTTGGGATTTCGTCACCGTCAACCAGTTGCTGACCGATTTGTATTTGAAATGTGTTTGCTAAATTTCGAACCTATAGGAACTTAACATAATTTTTAGGAGTGTATTTGTTGAATTTTAAAAGTTGTCCTCGGTTTGACCGACTGGTCAAATTGGTTAAACCGATCACTCGAGACCTAATAACTTTGTCGGCTTTCACCTCGGGTTGGGTTTTAAAACATTAATTTTAAAGTCTTAAGAAATTAGTTGAGACTAATGTAAACTAATTCGAATGTTCCGCTCATCCAAAAAATTAGAATAGAGACCTATAGGTATACATAAACTGATAACATTCAGGTCACGAAAAAAAAAAAAATCGAGACCGCTAGTAATATCAGTATCAACAAAAATAAAATATAACAAATATCACTGGGGCCACGTCGATGGTGATGATATTATATTGTACATGGTACTTGATAGTGGTGCTGGTACCGTATAACTCGTTTCGCGAGGATTCCACTGGTTCACTAAACCCTAAAAAGTCTTAAAACCCTAAATTTCTCACCGCCATTTCTTTGAATCGAATAATCCAATATTTGATTCGATGGCGTTCGCTTCCAGCTTTCGTCGCGTCCTTAGCTCTGGCTCTTCCGTTCTTCAATCTCAACTCGCTACCGTTCGTTTTAGTTCAACTCTTACTTCCCCTAAACTCTTCGTCAGTGGTAATTATGTTTGTTTTATCCTGTATGTTTGTTTTGTCGTTTAAATTTTCCATGATTCAATAACAACTCTCAAGTTTTAAATTTTCTTTATTTTAAATTTATGTTTTAATTTTATTGACTGTAATGAACCAATTTATTATAAATTTTCGTTAACATAAGATATATACGTTAATACTGAATAAGAATAATGAAATTTTTTAGCTGCATTCATTGCAACTTAAGCTAGGTTGTTTAACAAGCCAGTAGTTTGAGATTGGGAGGAGAAAATTATAAGTATGTAATTGTGAACCTAGTCATTACTGTGAGTTAAATGAGTTTGAAGTATAATACTAGGGTGAGTGGTACTAGAGCTCTTATTCCTGAATGTATCTGTGAATTGAATTTTGTTTGTGGTGACGTGTGAATCGGCTGCTAATCCCCTTTGAAATATTGGAAACAAAAGTGTCTACAGTGAGTTAAAAAAAAAAAAAAAAAGGACATATCGTTTGGACTGGTTATTTACCATTTCATTGAATGGTTCTAATCCATGCTTCTGAATAGGTTCAGCTTAGCGTTTGCCTGAAGGAAGTCTTTCCCTTCTTATAGTAGAGTAGGGGAAGTCAATGTCATACCTGGACCTAGATGTTGTTTAATCTAGTAACAAACTCTGAAAGAATGGTTTCAGACTCTCTGTAGTAGTCATCGATGTGTTTGGGAGAACTGAGTTGCCATCTGACATTTTAATCAAGCAACAAACTCTGAAAGAAAGGTTTCAGACTTTCTTTAGTAGTCATTGGAGTGTTTGGGAGAACTGAGTTGCCATCTTACGTTGTGTATCGAAAAGTGGATTGTATAACCATTCTGTGGGATCTTGGTCTATGTTACAATGACATTATGGTGTTCTCTTGCATCATTAATAACTATGTTCTTTTTACCGAAATACCTCAAATTTCACTATTGCAGTTGGTTAATACATGTCACAACTGTAAAGCATTTGCTTGAAACCCTATTTTTCATTGACATACACTATACAGAGGCATCCCTTATCCTTGCTCTAGTGATATCATAACCCGAAGCCAAAAAAAAGTTTTTTTCTTTGTTTTGTTTTTAAAGGTGATTAGCCATTGATGTATGATTCTCTGCATGTACGAGATATATTTCTTGAAGCATATTACTGAAAATTGCCTGTTGTTAGGATTTAGACAGTTGTAGATTTGATTAACTCCCATCATATGGTATTATAAGCAGGTCTATCAAGACTTACAACTGATGAAAGGCTTAAGGAGGCATTTTCTTCATTTGGACAGCTTCTTGATGGTAAGTTAAAACGTAAAAGTATATTGTTGGTTGTATTTATATTCCACATCATTGTGGTTTAATCTTATGCTTTCTGATGCATTCATTCTGCAGCAAAAGTTATAACAGACAGAATGTCTGGAAGATCAAAAGGGTTTGGTTTTGTTACGTATGCAACCATAGAGGAAGCTGAGAAGGCTAGAGAAGGAATGAACGCAAAGTTTTTGGACGGATGGGTTATTTTTGTTGACCCTGCTAAACCAAGGGAGTCCAGACCACCTCCTCCGCGTCAATCAGAATCGCAACCCTCTGAGACAGGTTTCAGAACAAACAAGACAATCGGATGGTGTGGGTGATTTAAGGTGGTTGACGGTATTCATCATACTAGAAGACTATTTACAGAATGCACTTCCTTATTTTTCCTACTAACATCTTGTATTCATGAAGATGAGGGATTGGTGGTCATAATTTTGTTATGGTTTATTTGGACAAAAGTCATTTTGGATTGGTGGTCATAATTTATTTATGATTTATCAATCGATTTATTGGGATTATGGGAACCTATAGCACTTCACTTGTATTCATTCCTGATCTGGTAGTTGTACGGTGATATACATCTTTTGGTTCCTGTTTAAAAATAAAATCCTCAAAAGTAGTCATAACTCAGCTTGTTAGATAAATGTTTTAGATAAATACTATGATAATGTCTGTCAGATTTGTTTTGCTCGAATACATTAGCCTGCAAAAATATGTAAACGAATAAAAATATAAAGGAAACTTGTTTTCACAAACAAAATTTGCATTAAGAGATGATATAGATCCTGTAAAAAAAGAAATACCCTTTGGGTTCGTTTGGTTCAAGAAATGTTATATTATTGAAGAATGTTGTATTATTAGAAAGATAGATTACTAGGGAATCTTTAGAGAAATATGTTTTGTTGGTTGGAATAAATTGATAGGTATGTTATAATATTATGTTTGGTTGAGAGGGTAAATGAGTGGGTATGTTAGGTAGATTAATAAATTGCCATCATTTTTAAATATTAACGTATTATTATATTATTTTTTTAACCTCTTATATTTGAAATTTTGCTAAAACAACCCAACCATATAAAACTTTAATTTGTAGCAAAATCACCCCCATCCACCCCAAGCCACCGTCGGCAACCAGCCACCACTGTCGGCAGCTGTTGTAATGGCGCACGACTAGTCGGATTTGGTTGGTCGTGCATTGGTAAGGCCTAATCAAAGATCCATGATAAAAAACGATTAGATGTGGCTGTGAATATGGTCGTTTCACAACCAAAGATGTGGCCATGAATATGACCGTTTCATGGCCAAAGATGTGGTCGTGAAACGACAACCATTTGACGGCCAGATCTATGGTGTTTGATGGCCACGTTGGCCAAATCTGGTCATTTTCGACCATGGATCACAAATCCATGGCCGAAAATGTCCTTATCGGCACACGATCGGCAAGATTCCGCTGGTCTTGTACTGATATGATGATTTTCACTAGCGGCTAGAGACCGACGGTGGTCATGGGTGGTTGGGGGTATTTTGTTAACTTTTAAACTTTTTGTGACGGGGTGTTTTAGCTAAATTCTCAAATGTAGGTTGTTTGAGCTAATTGTTATTTGGTAGACATACGAGGGTAAATGTGTCTGAAATAATAAAAAATTAAGGGCAAAATATGGTCAAAATTAAGATTACCTCGGTAATCTTTTATTAACACCATTTAGAAAGGTAATCTGATTACCCCTAATATTACCAACAATAAACATTATTTGCAATAAAAGATTACGTAATATTTTATTACTTGACAACCAAATAAGAGAATCTTAAAAATTAAACAAAGATTACAAGATTAATCTTATATCACCCCGAACCAAACGCAACCTTTAGAAATCAAGAAAAAAAAATACCATTCAGACGATCACGTTCTTTCAATGCTCACCATCATATTTAATAGCTGTGTGTCATCAACATCACATTAAGGGATAATAAATCTTTTTTTCTTGTTGTAACTTTTATTCTATTTATTTATTTATTTTTATCATGGGGGGTTGTCTGGCCAGCTTGTATGCATCTCAATTAATCCCTTGTGGCCCTGAAACTGTCAATTGAGTAAGAGCCTCAGTGACCACCTTTATTAGTGCATTGGGGACTTGAACTTATGAGCTCATAGAACATTTTTTGCTCTTTTACCATCATAGCACATAGTGGTGGTTACTTTTATTCAAATTCATTGATGGTGATTTTATACTTTTTGAGAGGGAAAATTTAATGTTGGTGTTATGATTTTTCAATGTTCTTTGTTTTTGGATTTTGATTGAGGGAATTTAGAGAATATGTGATTTTTGATAACTAAGGCCTCGATTTTATTTGCTGTAGCAGTAGAATGATATTAATGTCTTCTTTTTTAAGTTTTAGGGTGCGTTTAGTTTCGGGAATGTTGGATTACTTGGAATGTTGAATTACTAAAAAGTTAGATTACCTTGAAGATTATTAAGAATCTTTAAGAAAATGTGTTGGGTTAGTTGGTGGGTATGTTATATTAATATGTTTGGTTGGGAGAAATAAATTGGTGGATATGTTATTTAAATTACTTAATGTCCTCTAATTAAATATTATTATTGTATTATTTTTTAATATTGATTATTATTTGGATTATATAACCCCCCTGCATTTAAAAATTTAGCAAAAACAACCCCATAATAAAAGTTTAGAAAACCAACAAAGTACCCCTACCAACCCAGCCACTGCCGCCCGCCAACAACCACCATTGGCAACCTAACAGAGCACGGAAGGCAAGAAATGGCCTCCGTGCGTCGTATGACCATTTTCGACCAGAGATTTAGCCATCAACGGCCAGATTGATGACGTATCTGGCAATCAATGGCTAGATCGATAGTCGTTAATGGCCACAGACATGGCCATTTACGGCCATTGATCTAGCCATTGACGACCAGATCAACGGATTTGGCCTTTGATGGCCAGATTATATCTGTCACGATCTGGCCATTTTCAGCCTTCCATGCGCCGTTCCGGTGGCGGTCACGGTTGGCTGTGGCGGTGGTTGCTGGCGGCAGGTGGGTAGGGGTGGTGGCTTGGGTGAGCTGCAATTTGTTTTGAATTCAAGGTTAATTTTGTCCAAAAAGTTAATTAATTGGGGTGAAATAATAAAAATCATATTCATGTAAATAAATTTAAAAATAAGGGCATTATTGTCCTAAAATTTTATTAATAAGGGATAGAATTGTAACAAAAAAAATTACCCTGATAATGTTAAAATACCTAAGAAAATTGATTACAATATTACCAATAATAACTACTATTGATATTTAAAGATTATCAAAATCTTATATTACTTGACAACCAAACATAATAATCAAGTAATATAGGATGACATAACTTCAATAATCTCACATTATCTCCTATCAAACGCCCTTTAGTTTTACCCTTGAGCCAGAAAAATTGAGGGTGATGTTAATTTTTTGAAATTATGAGGCGTGACGAAGCCTTATTTAGGAGGTTTGAATGTGATATACCAACTGAACATGTTGTACGTGTGTGGACATGTTCAAACTTCAAAGTCTTGGTACCCAGGGTGTGGCATGCCATTTTTTAAGGACCATCACTATGTCTGCAATTGAACTCAAGCCCTTTGTAATATACAGTATATTATCTTTATGATGTCACAAATCTTCAGTCAGGAAATTTCACTTAAGTGTGCGCTAACGACAAAAAGAACAAAAATGATGCTCATATCAATGAAATTTTGGAACGGAAATTCTATCAGCATAGTTAAGTCAAATCACACGTATTTTAAAAAGCCCATTCTTAAGCTAAGTCTAATTGTGAAAGCTCTGCGTAAACCCTAAGCTGCCACTGTCAGACTTCAACCAAAAATGCATTCATGCATTCTTCACTACGTTCCTGTTAAATCTCCTCTTTTATTTGCTCCAAAGGTTAGTTATCGATCCTTCAAATATTCACTCTACTCATTTCATATAAACCAATTTAATAATAAATTAATTGATATTTTCAATAATGAAACCAACTCTACTTGCAGATGACGACTTCATTTGGTTCGTCTCACCGAGATTATAAACTATGTGCCGTTTCATCGAGCTTGAAAGAGGCGTCAAATTACATACCAGCTGCTCCTATATTACTGCCTGAAGGACCATGGAAGCAAGTTAGTGAGCTATTATAATCATCAAACTATCTGTGTTTTGTTTTTATTTTTGATTAATTAATTAATTAAAATAATTTTTCACGTATGTAGAAGCAACGATAATATCAATGTGAGTGTTGCAGAGCTGATATTCTTTTACTTATCAGTTAAGATGTTAATTAAACTAATGCTACAGTTTATAATGTGTGATTTATAATTCCTTCTGCAAATTTTCCTTTGAATAGTTTATACTGATGCTATCGCCTAATCTGTAAAACCTATATAAAGTAATACATTTGGAAGTAATAATTTGTTTAAACCAATATTCCAGTCTCAAATTCAGCATTATATAGAAGGCAAGAAGCCTTTACATTTTGGTGATTAATCATTTTAAATTGTTTGTGTGTATATAAAGGTAGTATGTATGGGACTTGTCTGAATTAATATTATTTTGTTTGTCTGTTACAGTCGTGCATTTTTTGTCACAGAAATTTCTTGTGAGTCTGTTTTAATTTATGTGTGGCTATCAACATTGTTATGTTGGATGAGTCGCATTTAGTTTTATCATTTCTAAAGTCCCCAATCTGATTGAATATTCATGAAGTTCTTTCCTTTGTAATTTTATGACATGTCAAAGGTAATTTACGCTCCTGGCCCAACAATAGGGAATTAGTAGCCTTTTTTTTTCTGCAGTTTTATTATTTGATGTGATTTATGATGCCAATCCTTGCTGATTAATTTAACGACCACGGAGAGTGTAGATTCCTGGTGGAGTTACTGCAGCAGAGGGGTTTAATGCTGCAGGTATTTTTGGAGGGCTGCGTGCCAAAGGAGAGAAACCTGATCTGGCACTTGTTACTTGTGATGTTGATGCAACATCTGCAGGTTGGCTTTCATTTTTTGTAGATTGTACATGCATTCATGTGTATGTTCACTTGTCCTAGATTTGGTTTAGGAATATTGTTTTTCTTGCTGCTATTAATTTAAGTATTTAAGTTCTATCATGAAAATAATTTAATTATTTTTTACTAGGATGTGTTTGGATGTTTAATCCAAGAAATGTGTTTGTTAGGATAATGTCCACTTTCTGTTATTTAATTATTTTGTACGATATCTTTCAGGGGCATTCACTACAAATGTGGTAGCAGCTGCACCAGTAATATACTGCAAAAATGCATTGAACGTTTCAAAAACGGTATTGTAGAGCATCATATATGGCATGATAATAGTTAAAGACATAGATACAAACTTCATGTGCAAAATTCTTTTGTGACTAAATAAAATAAATCAGAAACAATTGATAGATTTTTAACCAACTTAAAAATGATATTCCTTCATTCAAATGAGATGATTGGATTGAGAGGTGTTATTTAATGTGCTTGAAGCTTAGCTTTATATGTACCAGGCGCTGGCTTCCTTTTCCACTACTGGCAGCATTGCATCTACTGTTCTTAGGATATCTATAGGCTCTCATTTGGCTTAATTAAATAGGGGTATTCTTTGCTCTGGAAGTCCTCAGCTTCATTTATATCCGGACTTGGAAGTGTCAGCCATAGGATGTCCAATGGTAATATTTGTTTAATTTAAAAAAAAAAATTAAAATGAAGACTAGATACAGTTTCACTGACCCTAAGTATTATGCAAAGAGCCACCAGCAAAGCTAATTGTACTTTCTAAAGTTTGTATGGTTTTTTCTGTGTGTTTTTTGTTCTCACTCTTTCAAAACTCTGCCAGGCATTAGCACTTCTCTTCTTCTACTAACCATGTTTTCTTATTTTTTCTTCATAATATTCCTGGTATTTTGGATTTCTCAATTGTGTTATTTTCCTGTATTATTTATTTATGATGCTGGAATTCAGATTCTGCTCAACTTTTGATTTGGTACTCATCACCTATCCATGTAGAAAGGTGTTTTCATGTTGTGTCTGACATTTCAAATAAATATAAATGAAGTTCAGGATGTCCTGAGTAGGGAATCTCCCTGTTGTACTCATATTGATACCCTAAAAATATGTACATACAAAACATAATATACTGCAAATAATATCAACCAACAGATCTGATACATTGCTGGGATTGAAAATATTTATTCATTTTTTTATCAATTTACTCACAACTTAGAATCTGTAACATTTGTTTATGTTTGCAAAATTGTTTATTACTGACTCAATTTCATTTTTTTTCCAGGCACGTGCGTTGTTAATAAATGCTGGTCAAGCCAATGCAGCCACGGTAAGCTGTGTCACAATAATAAGATGTTTCACATATACTTCTTGTTGGTACACCATGTGCTTCTTTTCTCTAGTAAATAAGAGGCAACATATTGTGTTTCCTTGTCTGATTTGGATTGATCAACTAAACATGGTTCTTTGAGTCTACCTTAGTCTACCTTATAATCTGCGTTGCTAGTGTCCATGGCTAACAGATCTTTTAATGCTTACAGGGAGATGCAGGTTACCAGGACGTTATAGAATGTGCCAATGCCGTTGCCACGGTGTGCCACTCCAGACTGTTTGAACTCCATTTCCATGGTAGTCTTGAATATGCTGGATTTGTGTTCACCTTTTATTGTCATTGCTATTATTGCAGCTACTAAAAATGAAGCCAGAGGAAGTTTTAATTGAATCCACTGGTGTAATTGGTCAAAGAATAAAGAAGGTAAACAGCATAACTGTATTTATGTCCCACAAATTATGTTGGTGACGTAGTATGCCATACAATTTTATGGTATTGATACGTTTTATGATACTGGTTTGCAGGGTGCACTTATAAATTCACTTCCCAGATTAGTTAATTCGCTTTCATCTTCTGCTGACGGGTAATTTGCACTTCCGCATCAATCTTCTTGTAGTTTAGCTTTGGCATGCTTTCAATTTTTATTTAGGGATGAAAAGCACCCTTTTGGTTTATTGATCTCTTCAATAATTATTATTATTTTTTCACCTTTTGTTTATTACTTTATTTTTGTGTAAATCATGTGGCTCTAAATGATCACCTGTGTCCTTTGTCTTCTAGTTTGTTTAGGCATTCTTGAATCTTATCAGTGGATGTGCAGGGCAGATTCGGCAGCTGTGGCAATAACGACAACTGACCTTGTCAGTAAGAGTGTGGCAGTTGAATCTCAGGTGCATGAAACTTTTTTTGTGGATCACTTTGTGTGCATTCCCTGGTTTTATACATCAATTATATACAATACCAAAATTGGTCTATAAAATAATGCTACCACAGAAGTTGATATGGATTAATATGCATGGTATACACTTTGCCTCCTGATTCCTGCTGGGATATTAATAGCAATGCTGGAAAACAAAGTCATTATTGCATGCTTTTACAATATTTTTGTGTTTGAAAAACTACATTTTCAGGAATCAACATTGAATCACCCTTAGTCTCCCAAAGTTCTGCATTTAGTAGACATGAAGCTCTTGAAAATAGATACTTTGTGGGCCCTTATATTAAATGTCAATCAAACAGGTTGGAGGGAAAAATATACGAGTTGGGGGAATGGCAAAAGGTTCTGGCATGATTCACCCAAATATGGCTACCATGCTTGGTGTAAGTCTCTTCTGGTGCTTCTTGCTTGAAACTAACTTTAAGCATATTTTCATTGCATTCTTCAATTTGGTGTTTATTTCAGGTGGTAACTACTGATGCACTTGTTAACTCTGATGTATGGAGAAAGATGGTGCAGGTTGCTGTTAACCGGAGTTTTAACCAAATTACTGTGAGTAGTGTAATTGCTCCATGTGTTTTGATACTGCTACTGGAAAAAGTAGGAGAGCTAACTGTCTACTTGGTTATCACTGGATTGATTTTAGTAAATCCCCAAATTCTGTGGATTTGTTGTTTACATACAGTGACCCAACAGCTATATATTTTGTCATATTCTTAAGTGCGTGTTAGATAATCTAAGATTGTTCATATTTAAGCATTCGCACATAAAATTTAGTGCTTGAGTCTCCTATGACTCTTATTGGTTTGGCAGATATATATCCTTAATTCTAATGGTTTCTGGTGATTTTTTTTTTTTTTTTTTTTTCTCTTATGGTATGGTTTTATTACATTCCCTCCTTGGTAGACTATTGCTATATTTATAGATTTAAGCTGGTTTGCTTATGGTTTTGCTATAGGTAGATGGAGATACTAGTACCAACGACACTGTCATTGCTTTGGCCAGTGGATTATCTGGAGCAAGCAGGATATCTTCAATTAACTGTAATGAGGCTTTGCAACTTCAAGCGTGCCTTGATGTGGTAAGTTTGCTTTACTGAAGGTCCATACATATTTTCCTAGCTGGTGAATATTTCTATTAATCTACCCCTTCTCTGCAGTCTAACCCTTCATCAAGCGTTGTTACTATACCAACTGCTTGCATGAACTTGTAGGATTTTGCCTACTTGTTGGGTTGGGAGGGTGGCACATGATTTGTCTGTGATATTTGTGGAATGATTGATGTGTTGAATCTGTCACAACTTTGACACTTTTCCTTTCTCAGGTAATGCAAGGTCTTGCCAAATCTGTGGCTTGGGATGGAGAAGGAGCGACTTGCTTAATTGAGGTCTACATCATATTTAAAGATCTTTCATACTTGTCTGAAATTTAAATTGCATGTGGGCATCCCTAACTCCAATCAAACATCCAAAATCTCCACATTCATGCAATCTGTTTGTTCACTTGTACTAAATATGGCAAACGTGAGGTTTAGTTCACAAAAAACCTGCTGTGTAGATGAGAACAAGAAAATAGAAATATAAATTATAATTTTTTTATGTATTATGATTTCTAACTTGTTATTCCTTCTAGGCTTGCCCATTGATAAGTTGTATAATCCTTTTGTAATGTCAATTACTTGTCAGCTCATATTTTCATGTGTACTTTTTATGATTGCTGAGCCATGGAATTTAAACCTTCTTTGTGATTTCTCTTCTACATTTCTATAGTAACTTACTTGAACTGTTTATTGTATTTGGAAATTTGATTTTTTTTCTTTAATTGGAAATGTTCTTTTTAAAATACCCTTTAAGAGAATTCTAGATAACTGTGTGGGGGTGGATTTATGAATGATGATACTTCAGGTTTCTACTGGTTTGTTTAGATGACATTGGAGATTTTCAGGTTCTGCTAATTCTAACTTTCAATCTGTAGGTCACGGTAATTGGTGCTGACAGTGAGGTTGAAGCAGCAAAGATTGCACGCTCAGTGGCATCTTCATCTCTTGTANGCGTGTTAGATAATCTAAGATTGTTCATATTTAAGCATTCGCACATAAAATTTAGTGCTTGAGTCTCCTATGACTCTTATTGGTTTGGCAGATATATATCCTTAATTCTAATGGTTTCTGGTGATTTTTTTTTTTTTTTTTTTTTCTCTTATGGTATGGTTTTATTACATTCCCTCCTTGGTAGACTATTGCTATATTTATAGATTTAAGCTGGTTTGCTTATGGTTTTGCTATAGGTAGATGGAGATACTAGTACCAACGACACTGTCATTGCTTTGGCCAGTGGATTATCTGGAGCAAGCAGGATATCTTCAATTAACTGTAATGAGGCTTTGCAACTTCAAGCGTGCCTTGATGTGGTAAGTTTGCTTTACTGAAGGTCCATACATATTTTCCTAGCTGGTGAATATTTCTATTAATCTACCCCTTCTCTGCAGTCTAACCCTTCATCAAGCGTTGTTACTATACCAACTGCTTGCATGAACTTGTAGGATTTTGCCTACTTGTTGGGTTGGGAGGGTGGCACATGATTTGTCTGTGATATTTGTGGAATGATTGATGTGTTGAATCTGTCACAACTTTGACACTTTTCCTTTCTCAGGTAATGCAAGGTCTTGCCAAATCTGTGGCTTGGGATGGAGAAGGAGCGACTTGCTTAATTGAGGTCTACATCATATTTAAAGATCTTTCATACTTGTCTGAAATTTAAATTGCATGTGGGCATCCCTAACTCCAATCAAACATCCAAAATCTCCACATTCATGCAATCTGTTTGTTCACTTGTACTAAATATGGCAAACGTGAGGTTTAGTTCACAAAAAACCTGCTGTGTAGATGAGAACAAGAAAATAGAAATATAAATTATAATTTTTTTATGTATTATGATTTCTAACTTGTTATTCCTTCTAGGCTTGCCCATTGATAAGTTGTATAATCCTTTTGTAATGTCAATTACTTGTCAGCTCATATTTTCATGTGTACTTTTTATGATTGCTGAGCCATGGAATTTAAACCTTCTTTGTGATTTCTCTTCTACATTTCTATAGTAACTTACTTGAACTGTTTATTGTATTTGGAAATTTGATTTTTTTTCTTTAATTGGAAATGTTCTTTTTAAAATACCCTTTAAGAGAATTCTAGATAACTGTGTGGGGGTTGATTTATGAATGATGATACTTCAGGTTTCTACTGGTTTGTTTAGATGACATTGGAGATTTTCAGGTTCTGCTAAATCTAAATTTCAATCTGTAGGTCACAGTTATTGGTGCTGACAGTGAGGTTGAAGCAGCAAAGATTGCACGCTCAGTGGCATCTTCATCTCTTGTAAAGGCATGATATAACTTAAAACTTCATTTGATGCTTCAACTTTGTTAGTCAATTAATTCTCAATGATGGTTGTCAGGCTGCTGTATATGGTAGAGATCCAAATTGGGGACGCATTGCATGTGCTGCAGGATATGCTGGGATTTCTTTTGACCAAAATAAGCTGCGGATATTGCTTGGGGATATTTTACTCATGGAGGGTGGGCAACCGCTTCCATTTGACAGGTAAAGTTTAATTTTTTTTATTATTATGTTATTTTATTTTATCAAAATCTTGTAAAATTTCTGATATGTGTGACAGATTGTTGACCTCTTTTTCTGTCTGAAAACCATCCATTTCATGCATCTGATATTTCTGATTCACCATATGGAAGGAATCTCTTCCATTTTGTGGAGACAGATTCCATCAACAGCTGATAGGTTTTTGAAAATTTTACAAAATTTAGCTACGATGGTTATCCAAATATTGTCTGCTATGAATTGTGAGCCAAATTGACACCGTTATTCTGTAACTTTATTGAAAGAGTGCAATGATGCTTGATCATTATGAGAAGACTTATATTCCATTGTTTGAACAGTATCTGTTTAGCCAAAATTCCCTGAGGGGGCACATTTTATTTGCAGTTGCCCAAGTTGTATGTTTTTTAATTAGTGTAATATCAAGTAAATGAACTTTTATATGTTATACTTGCCAGACCTAGAGATCTAGGTGCATCTCTGTGTGCATCTTTTAGATAGGACTGGAGAGGAAAAGTCATATATATCTTTTTGTCAAATTTCAGTAAGAACATTATTATTTTTCCCAGAATATGAGAATTTTATCTTTTGATCTATAAGTCTCCTAAGTAACACGAGACTTTTTCAGGGCTGCGGCTAGCAACTATCTCAAGAAGGCTGGCGAGACCCATGGTACAGTAACAATCCAAATATCTGTCGGTAAGCTTCAAAATATTTGCCCATACACGCGCTTATCATTTACTGCACAATAAGAATATCAGAATATCTTCATCTCTTGCATGTACAACTTTAAAGGCGACAGAGTTACATAGAAAATTATCTGCAGAGTATGTTGACATACCCGACAAGATATTTACTTATGTATAAAAAGCTAATCAAGGTCCTGCATGAGCCTTGTCTTCCTGGTTTTGCTTCAGCTTGGAGTGCTACATTCTCTTATGTGCACTCTGCTATAATTCTCGCACCTTCATTGTTAACTCATAACTGTTATCTGTGGAGTCTTTAGCTTTCTATAGAAAATGAAATTCTAAAGCAGGAAAAACCGTGGTTTAATTTACCATCTCAGTATATAATTAAAGAAGTGAAGATGAGCTGTCACAATAACAACTACCATTAATGTCTATAATTTATCTGCGTCCTTACTTTCCTTTGTTCCAACAGGTGATGGACCTGGAAACGGACAAGCGTGGGGCTGTGACCTAAGTTATGATTATGTCAAAATAAATGCAGAATACACGACATAGAAGACCTTTTTTTTTTTTTTCTTCAACTTTTCCCGTTTAGGAAATAGCATGTGATGGAATGGACTGTTACAAACATTCGAAGATGCCTAATTATGGTGTCATTGTTGGCATTATTGATAGAACTAGTAGAACACATCATGGCCACTACGCTCCGGGACTAAACAACTTACCTCAATAAGAATTTTACGGCGAACATGAATTCCATTAGATTTGTTTTCTATTATGGGCTTATTTATTACTGACCATTTTAAAGTTTAAGATTCTATCGTAAATCAATCATTCATTAAGCTGGAGTAAAACCCACAATTACTAAAGACAAAAGGATAAAATCCCAAAATAAATCTATTTTAATTTTCGAAAGACGGTCTGGAAGAACAAAACCTAGTGGACAAATGCAGGAGCGGGATGGCCTTAAATGCAAGTGAATTAAGCAGTTATCAATATTTTTATATACACGGCAAGTTCTAAACACTGCTGTTTACAGGACACAGCACACAACAAACAATTAAAATCTTTTAATAGGTTCCACACACCATCAGGCATCAGCACAACAGCAAACAGTAGCAACTTAGGAAGCAGACAAATNTATGGGCTTATTTATTACTGACCATTTTAAAGTTTAAGATTCTATTGTAAATCAATCATTCATTAAGCTGGAGTAAAATCCACAATTACTAAAGACAAAAGGATAAAATCCCAAAATAAATCTATTTTAATTTTCGAAAGACGGTCTGGAAGAACAAAACCTAGTGGACAAATGCAGGAGCGGGATGGCCTTAAATGCAAGTGAATTAAGCAGTTATCAATATTTTTATATACACGGCAAGTTCTAAACACTGCTGTTTACAGGACACAGCACACAACAAACAATTAAAATCTTTTAATAGGTTCCACACACACCATCAGCACAACAGCAAACAGTAGCAGCTTACGAAGCAGACAAATCAGAAATAAAAACCTTGATTCTTATTTATACACAAGCGTATGAGAACAGGAAATGAAAATGGGAAGGGAGTTTTAGGTCATAATGCCTCTGCAACTGAGTAATGCACCTTGCTGAGCGATTGTTTGAGGAAAATGCTGCCACAGTAGGATTCGCGACCACCGACATCAAAGTCTTTGAGGTCATCTGAAAGCTCCATTACTCTATCACGAATGTCCATTGATTTGAAACCCTTGTCAGTACTCCCAGCACTTTTACGGAATTGCCTCTTGTCTTTGCCGCTACCATGTGAAGAGTTGCCTCTCTGCCCTTTCTTTCCATTTTTCTGTTTCTTTCTTTCGTCTTTCTTGAACTTCTGCTGCTTCCTGCCTCTATTAACTGTGTGGGATACTATTGTTGGTGGAGGATCATACACATCAGGGGCCCACTTCACGGTCAGTTTCCTTGGTGATCCACCCTCTCTCTCACGGCTGCCTTTCATAGCAGACACAAGCTTAAAAGGAGTCTGTATGAAGTGAAGCCAAATTAGAAAACCAAAATAAATAATGCTGACATGATTTCTTGAGAAGCACAATGAAGGCTAAACCAGTCTTAAGCCAAGACTTATCAACTTCACCATAAATGACAAAAGAGAGAAATTTCATGCTAAATTTTGCAGGCTCTAAATTGATAGAAGCACACAACAATCAAGGTAGTTGTCTTAGAATAACTGAATTTTTCATGCTTCTGCATGGGTGATAAAAAAATCCTCTGTCAATCAATATCACAATCATCAGTTGTGACACAAGGCAAATATTACCATGAATCCTTTAAAAAAGGACAAAGTCTTGGTACGTTGTAATCATGAAAAAATAAATCAAATTAAAAAGTATCTGGTGCGCTATGAATGTCACAATCACACACTTAAGATAGTTAGCTCAACATAACAGAAGAAAAGCGAAACAAAAGCATGCAACAGAATACCAAAAAAGAAATCACACCACTGAAGATTGAAAATTCAATAAAAGCTCTCAAGAAACAGGCAATAACCCCTTTAACCACTAGCAGAGAATGCAAACAAGAAAACATGATACAAAAATAGCAGGTTCCTTGTCTAAACAGCCATGCATGCCATCAGATCTGTAAAAGACTCACAGGCAAAGATGGTGAGCGAGAGGAGGGCACGTGTGTAGAATCTTCAGAGAACATTTGCTGCAAGGCTATCATAAGTTCTTCATCTTCATCTTGTTCATCAGAAGTAGCAGAATTTGAAATCTTAACAGGAGAGGGAAAACCAGGGCACTTGTGCAAGATCTTTGGACTAGATTTAGCCTCATCCAGTTTCAGCTCTTCAAGTCCCTTCCCAACATCACCGATACCATCTCTGTCAGATGTATTATGTTCACAAGAATCCTGAGTTTGCAAAGATCCACCAAGGTTGCTGTCTAGGCTTTTTACTAAATTACTTGAAGAATCTGATTTTTCCTCACCACACAAAAAGCCGATGTCCATAGATGACAAGGAACCAGTAAGTTTGATACAGAACTGCAAATCAAATACAAAGCTCTCATGACAATCATTGTAAAACAAAAACAGGATAAGAAAAAGAAACCACCCGTCGATTACAATACCGAAAAAGAAATCACACTATTGAGGATGAAAATTCAATCAACAAAACCATAAATTACTTGTAGTTCAATAGCAACATATGCTAATAATTAACACTCAAAATATTGATAGCTCACAGTTCAATAAGCAAAATATACCCCTATAAGAATGCATCAAAACACTCAGTTACAATTAAAACGCAAATCCAATTAATTTCAAGTTGAAAAACGCAAAGTCATAACTCCACAACAGTCTACTTTGATCTAGGTTGAATATAATATCCAGAGAATCACATGTGAGAAATTATACAACATTCCATAAAATAATCTTTATCCACAAATTCAAATCAAACATCAACAGAAACAATCCAGATATCAAGAAATGAATCAAAACTAACATTGAGAGCCAAATAAAATTAAACAGAAATGTACCTTATACAACGTCAACGCCAATCAGAAAAAGTAACCTTTCTCAGTCAAACTGATCGCCGACACCTCGTACGGACAACGAAATGAAGATAAAACCAAAAGCAAAGCCGATAGATAATTAAACAAGATAGAGAAGAACTAAAACAAATAAAAGCTAATGTTAACTAAGGTTACCACGACGATCACTTTTTTCAAGATGTTTCAGACGATGAGAACACAATCCACTATTAAAACGTGACAAAGTAGGCACTAATGGAAGCTTATTCGTTTCTGTGAGCTCCGAAGGCATTATGGAGATGCTCTTCGAAACCCTAACACACGCAAAACCCTAATTTTTGTAGCTTCCAGATCAATCAATAACAGAAACAGATCGAAAAAGTAACGGCAAAAATAACTTAGAAGGAGAGAATCTATTTATATTAAGGATAAATCAATTGAATCATCGAGTTAACTCAGTGAAGAGATAAGCCATTGACAGACAGGTAAGAAATGGAAATATGAGAGAGGATTGAGGAGGAGAAAGGGAATAGATGGAATTTATATAGGTGGCGGAATCTAGCGGGTCAATGGATCAAGTCAAGTGCGAGACAGTGGGCGAATGGTGAGACGACATCAGGGACGTACACGTATCAATCACGGTTTCTATGATTTCTATTCTGACTCCTGATATTTTTGCTCAGTTAGAGAGCTTTCTTGAGGGAGGGTTTAGGTTGATTATGATATAATTATAGAAATGAAAAATCGTTATATACGTGTTTAAGGGTGTAAATCCGACCCGACAGAGTGGGTCTTGTTGACTTCAGTTGGATCTGAATGATTGCAATTGCTTCATTTTCTTCAAATTATAAATTTTCATAAAACTCACTCAGTAATTCTATCTAATTTTTTTAAATTAAATAATTGAACAAAAATTTAATGTGGATTAATTCTTTAATTAACAACTTTTTATGGTTTATTTTTTTAATTGGTTGGGAATGTTTGGACTAACTTATACGTACCTTAATTAATCATCTAGAATTCTAAAATTATTAATTGGATAAGAACTTCAGTGATCACCCCTATTAACAACTAACAAGGGAATTCAAATTTGGATCACGGTGGACAAGTTAAAAAAAAAAAATAGTTGTTGAAAAAAACAATTTTGGTCTAAGAGCATCATATCATTTACCTAATTCATAAAATATATGGTAAAATATATAGGATTAATAAAATGTAAAAACTTTTATTTTTCATTAAAGATATAATGATGACCCCACGTCTAATTAGTATAGAACAAGCTTAAAAGGAGTCTGTATGAAGTGAAGCCAAATTAGAAAACCAAAATAAATATGCTGACATGATTTCTGAGAAGCACAATGAAGGCTAAACCAGTCTTAAGCCAAGACTTATCAACTTTACCATAAATGACAAAAGAGAGAAATTTCATGCTAAATTTTGCAGGCTCTAAATTGATAGAAGCACAACAATCAAGGTAGTTGTCTTAGAATAACTGAATTTTTCATGCTTCTGCATGGGTGATAAAAAACATCCTCTGTCAATCAATATCACAATCATCAGTTATGACACAAGGCAAATATTCCATGATCGTCAATTAATTCTCAATGATGGTTGTCAGGCTGCTGTATATGGTAGAGATCCAAATTGGGGACGCATTGCATGTGCTGCAGGATATGCTGGGATTTCTTTTGACCAAAATAAGCTGCGGATATTGCTTGGGGATATTTTACTCATGGAGGGTGGGCAACCGCTTCCATTTGACAGGTAAAGTTTAATTTTTTTTATTATTATGTTATTTTATTTTGTCAAAATCTTGTAAAATTTCTGATATGTGTGACAGATTGTTGACCTCTTTTTCTGTCTGAAAACCATCCATTTCATGCATCTGATATTTCTGATTCACCATATGGAAGGAATCTCTTCCATTTTGTGGAGACAGATTCCATCAACAGCTGATAGGTTTTTGAAAATTTTACAAAATTTAGCTACGATGGTTATCCAAATATTGTCTGCTATGAATTGTGAGCCAAATTGACACCGTTATTCTGTAACTTTATTGAAAGAGTGCAATGATGCTTGATCATTATGAGAAGACTTATATTCCATTGTTTGAACAGTATCTGTTTAGCCAAAATTCCCTGAGGGGGCACATTTTATTTGCAGTTGCCCAAGTTGTATGTTTTTTAATTAGTGTAATATCAAGTAAATGAACTTTTATATGTTATACTTGCCAGACCTAGAGATCTAGGTGCATCTCTGTGTGCATCTTTTAGATAGGACTGGAGAGGAAAAGTCATATATATCTTTTTGTCAAATTTCAGTAAGAACATTATTATTTTTCCCAGAATATGAGAATTTTATCTTTTGATCTATAAGTCTCCTAAGTAACACGAGACTTTTTCAGGGCTGCGGCTAGCAACTATCTCAAGAAGGCTGGCGAGACCCATGGTACAGTAACAATCCAAATATCTGTCGGTAAGCTTCAAAATATTTGCCCATACACGCGCTTATCATTTACTGCACAATAAGAATATCAGAATATCTTCATCTCTTGCATGTACAACTTTAAAGGCGACAGAGTTACATAGAAAATTATCTGCAGAGTATGTTGACATACCCGACAAGATATTTACTTATGTATAAAAAGCTAATCAAGGTCCTGCATGAGCCTTGTCTTCCTGGTTTTGCTTCAGCTTGGAGTGCTACATTCTCTTATGTGCACTCTGCTATAATTCTCGCACCTTCATTGTTAACTCATAACTGTTATCTGTGGAGTCTTTAGCTTTCTATAGAAAATGAAATTCTAAAGCAGGAAAAACCGTGGTTTAATTTACCATCTCAGTATATAATTAAAGAAGTGAAGATGAGCTGTCACAATAACAACTACCATTAATGTCTATAATTTATCTGCGTCCTTACTTTCCTTTGTTCCAACAGGTGATGGACCTGGAAACGGACAAGCGTGGGGCTGTGACCTAAGTTATGATTATGTCAAAATAAATGCAGAATACACGACATAGAAGACCTTTTTTTTTTTTTTCTTCAACTTTTCCCGTTTAGGAAATAGCATGTGATGGAATGGACTGTTACAAACATTCGAAGATGCCTAATTATGGTGTCATTGTTGGCATTATTGATAGAACTAGTAGAACACATCATGGCCACTACGCTCCGGGACTAAACAACTTACCTCAATAAGAATTTTACGGCGAACATGAATTCCATTAGATTTGTTTTCTATTATGGGCTTATTTATTACTGACCATTTTAAAGTTTAAGATTCTATTGTAAATCAATCATTCATTAAGCTGGAGTAAAATCCACAATTACTAAAGACAAAAGGATAAAATCCCAAAATAAATCTATTTTAATTTTCGAAAGACGGTCTGGAAGAACAAAACCTAGTGGACAAATGCAGGAGCGGGATGGCCTTAAATGCAAGTGAATTAAGCAGTTATCAATATTTTTATATACACGGCAAGTTCTAAACACTGCTGTTTACAGGACACAGCACACAACAAACAATTAAAATCTTTTAATAGGTTCCACACACACCATCAGCACAACAGCAAACAGTAGCAGCTTACGAAGCAGACAAATCAGAAATAAAAACCTTGATTCTTATTTATACACAAGCGTATGAGAACAGGAAATGAAAATGGGAAGGGAGTTTTAGGTCATAATGCCTCTGCAACTGAGTAATGCACCTTGCTGAGCGATTGTTTGAGGAAAATGCTGCCACAGTAGGATTCGCGACCACCGACATCAAAGTCTTTGAGGTCATCTGAAAGCTCCATTACTCTATCACGAATGTCCATTGATTTGAAACCCTTGTCAGTACTCCCAGCACTTTTACGGAATTGCCTCTTGTCTTTGCCGCTACCATGTGAAGAGTTGCCTCTCTGCCCTTTCTTTCCATTTTTCTGTTTCTTTCTTTCGTCTTTCTTGAACTTCTGCTGCTTCCTGCCTCTATTAACTGTGTGGGATACTATTGTTGGTGGAGGATCATACACATCAGGGGCCCACTTCACGGTCAGTTTCCTTGGTGATCCACCCTCTCTCTCACGGCTGCCTTTCATAGCAGACACAAGCTTAAAAGGAGTCTGTATGAAGTGAAGCCAAATTAGAAAACCAAAATAAATAATGCTGACATGATTTCTTGAGAAGCACAATGAAGGCTAAACCAGTCTTAAGCCAAGACTTATCAACTTCACCATAAATGACAAAAGAGAGAAATTTCATGCTAAATTTTGCAGGCTCTAAATTGATAGAAGCACACAACAATCAAGGTAGTTGTCTTAGAATAACTGAATTTTTCATGCTTCTGCATGGGTGATAAAAAAATCCTCTGTCAATCAATATCACAATCATCAGTTGTGACACAAGGCAAATATTACCATGAATCCTTTAAAAAAGGACAAAGTCTTGGTACGTTGTAATCATGAAAAAATAAATCAAATTAAAAAGTATCTGGTGCGCTATGAATGTCACAATCACACACTTAAGATAGTTAGCTCAACATAACAGAAGAAAAGCGAAACAAAAGCATGCAACAGAATACCAAAAAAGAAATCACACCACTGAAGATTGAAAATTCAATAAAAGCTCTCAAGAAACAGGCAATAACCCCTTTAACCACTAGCAGAGAATGCAAACAAGAAAACATGATACAAAAATAGCAGGTTCCTTGTCTAAACAGCCATGCATGCCATCAGATCTGTAAAAGACTCACAGGCAAAGATGGTGAGCGAGAGGAGGGCACGTGTGTAGAATCTTCAGAGAACATTTGCTGCAAGGCTATCATAAGTTCTTCATCTTCATCTTGTTCATCAGAAGTAGCAGAATTTGAAATCTTAACAGGAGAGGGAAAACCAGGGCACTTGTGCAAGATCTTTGGACTAGATTTAGCCTCATCCAGTTTCAGCTCTTCAAGTCCCTTCCCAACATCACCGATACCATCTCTGTCAGATGTATTATGTTCACAAGAATCCTGAGTTTGCAAAGATCCACCAAGGTTGCTGTCTAGGCTTTTTACTAAATTACTTGAAGAATCTGATTTTTCCTCACCACACAAAAAGCCGATGTCCATAGATGACAAGGAACCAGTAAGTTTGATACAGAACTGCAAATCAAATACAAAGCTCTCATGACAATCATTGTAAAACAAAAACAGGATAAGAAAAAGAAACCACCCGTCGATTACAATACCGAAAAAGAAATCACACTATTGAGGATGAAAATTCAATCAACAAAACCATAAATTACTTGTAGTTCAATAGCAACATATGCTAATAATTAACACTCAAAATATTGATAGCTCACAGTTCAATAAGCAAAATATACCCCTATAAGAATGCATCAAAACACTCAGTTACAATTAAAACGCAAATCCAATTAATTTCAAGTTGAAAAACGCAAAGTCATAACTCCACAACAGTCTACTTTGATCTAGGTTGAATATAATATCCAGAGAATCACATGTGAGAAATTATACAACATTCCATAAAATAATCTTTATCCACAAATTCAAATCAAACATCAACAGAAACAATCCAGATATCAAGAAATGAATCAAAACTAACATTGAGAGCCAAATAAAATTAAACAGAAATGTACCTTATACAACGTCAACGCCAATCAGAAAAAGTAACCTTTCTCAGTCAAACTGATCGCCGACACCTCGTACGGACAACGAAATGAAGATAAAACCAAAAGCAAAGCCGATAGATAATTAAACAAGATAGAGAAGAACTAAAACAAATAAAAGCTAATGTTAACTAAGGTTACCACGACGATCACTTTTTTCAAGATGTTTCAGACGATGAGAACACAATCCACTATTAAAACGTGACAAAGTAGGCACTAATGGAAGCTTATTCGTTTCTGTGAGCTCCGAAGGCATTATGGAGATGCTCTTCGAAACCCTAACACACGCAAAACCCTAATTTTTGTAGCTTCCAGATCAATCAATAACAGAAACAGATCGAAAAAGTAACGGCAAAAATAACTGAGAAGGAGAGAATCTATTTCTATTAAGGATAAATCAATTGAATCATCGAGTTAACTCAGTGAAGAGATAAGCCATTGACAGACAGGTAAGAAATGGAAATATGAGAGAGGATTGAGGAGGAGAAAGGGAATAGATGGAATTTATATAGGTGGCGGAATCTAGCGGGTCAATGGATCAAGTCAAGTGCGAGACAGTGGGAGAATGGTGAGACGACATCAGGGACGTACACGTATCAATCACGGTTTCTATGATTTCTATTCTGACTCCTGATATTTTTGCTCAGTTAGAGCTTTCTTGAGGGAGGGTTTAGTTTGATTATGATATAATTATAGAAATAAAAAATCGTTACATACGTGTTTAAGGGTGTAAATCCGACCCGACAGAGTGGGTCTTGTTGACTTCGGTTGGATCTGAATGATTGTAATTGCTTCATTTTCTTCAAATTATAAGATTTTCGTAAAACTCACTCGGTGATTGGGCTGTTTTTGTTCCGTATTCCAACTCTATTCAAAATATATATTTATTTTATTATTCTTAAAATCTAATCTTATTTGATTCAGTTCAAAATATTTAAATTTTTTTAACTTTTTAAGTTTGTTAATTTAATTAAATATCTCTAACCAATCAGTCGTGCACTATTCTGATAACTTTCGACCACCCTCTAATGGGGACATTTAATAAGTGTGTGAAGATATTTTTATTAATTTTAAAACTTTTATTGTAAAAGGTGTTTAACAAATTAACAAATATAGAAATTAAAAAATAATCTTACCAAAGATATTTTCAAATTTAAATTTTATCTTCGTAATTATAACCCAACTCAATTTTTTTAAAAATATTACTCAAAATAATAAAACAAACACAAAGATTTCTATCTTAGTTTTTTAAATTAAATAATTTAACAAAAATTCAGTGTGGATTAATTCTTTAATTAACAACTTTTTATGGTTTATTTTTTTAATTGATCGGGAGTGTCTGGACCAGCTTATAGATACCTTAATTAATTCTCTAGAATCTTGGAACTATCGACTGGATAAAAACTTTAATAATCATTCCTATTAACAATCATGGTGATTCAAATTCAGAAGATCATGATAGATAATTAATAAAAAAATAGTTGTTGAGAAAAACAATTTTGGTCGAAGAGCATCGTATCATTACCTAATCCATAAAATATATAGGATTAATATAATGTAAAAACTTTTATTTTTCATTAGAGATATAATGATGACCCCACTTCTAATGTTGATTCAGACGATCAACGGCTACAAAATACTCTACGACCGGAGCCTATACAAACGGTACAAAAGTACGCGTAACACCGTCTCAGTTCAAATTAAAATTTAACATTCCCTCGCTTGCGCCAGCCACAACATACACACGCGCACGCACGCACGTTCGCAACAGCTTCAAAATCAAACCAACTGGGGCCGACACGAACACTTCACCTGCTCAAATCTAACCACCACCCAACCCAACCCAACTCCTTTCTCCCCCAAAAATCCCCCGAAACCACCAAATTTTTGTCCCCAAAACCTAAATTTTAGCTTCTGTTGTCCAAAATCATTTCAATTTATTCCAACCCTAAGTTTAAACTATGAAAAAGTCTCACATTTCCAGCTCTCTAGATCGACCATGGCTTCTCCCACTGATTTCAGTCGGTGTTCTCTCTCTTATAATTATTCTCACAGTATCTTTAAGTCACGGTAAATCTTCTCCAAGTTCAGAGTTCACGGCCTCTGACCAGATTTTAGGAGAGCAATTGAGGCAACAGGCATTGCCGAGACTTGCTTATTTGATATCGGGGACGAAAGGTGACGGTGCACGTGTGAAGCGGTTGTTGCAAGCGGTGTATCATCCGCTAAATTACTATGTATTGCATCTTGATCTGGAAGCTTTGGATAGCGAGAGGCTTGACCTTGCAAAATATGTGAAATCGGAGAATGTGATGAGAGGTTTCAAGAACGTGATGGTGATTGGTAAAGCTGATTTGGTTACTTATAAAGGCCCCACGATGATTGCTT